GCCTTAATTCGCTAATTCGCTAGGAAGCACCGCAGACCCCACCCTTCTGGCCCCTGGCGCTGGGAGTTTGGGAAGCTCGGAGCACCCCCCTCTCTCTTCTCTGAAAGGACATCCTTAGAGCAGATCTCTGACCTTCCCTGGAGAACTGTCTCCGGGAACCGTTGGCCCTTATCCGGTGGCGCGGATAAAGGCAGGCGTCAGACCGTGACAGAGAGGCCGACAGTGCGGCCGACGGGCAGTGTCGGGCAAGGTGTGGTCGTTCCTTCTGCAGAGGCCGCGGGTGCAGAGCGCGTTCCCCAGCGTCCCGGACGGTCTGGTTCCCCAGATGAGACGTGGCACTTTGCACGGACGATGACTGGATGAGATCTCGGATTTAGAGTTGATGTGGAATGATACTTGGGGATGTCGGGTGAATGCATTTTGCACGTGGGAAGGACATGGATTTGGGGGGACAGTGAGTGGACTGTTGTGGATTGAACTGTGTTCTCCTCCAAATTTGTTGGCATCCTGACCCCCAAAACCTTAGAACGTGACTTTACGGGTGTAATCAAGTTCAAATGAGGTCCTATGGTGGGCTCCGATCCTTAAAGGGGAAATCGAGGCACAGGTTCTCCCCGGGAGAGCCTGGCGGGTGGTCGACGCAGGAACCTGAAGGTATGGAAAACAGGCACTTTGAAGGCAGAAAGTCCTGGATGTGAATTCTGGCTCCTCCATTACCCCGCGACCTTGGGCACTCGATATGTGACAGGGGACATTGCACCTGTCTCAGGGTTACCGTGAGGACGAGCCAAGGCTTTGTGCCAACCATGCCGCACAGTCGGGCACCACGTATATGGGGCTTTAGTTGTTATCCATGAAGTCTGGGTCCTCGAGTGGGTGACGAGTAAGTGCTGTGGACGGGGCTTCTCATGTCATAATGTCATAGTACCTTGTGGCCTGAGGGTGCCCTTACCTGTGGGGCCCCTCCTCACCGCTCACAGACTTTTAAAGCTGAAGGGCACGCGGAGGCTCTGTTCACCCGAAAATATTACAGACGAGGGACTTGTCCGGGGAAACGAATGACCACAGCCCACCTCCTTGCTGTCACCCGGGGCCCCGGAGCCAGGCCCGGGGCCTTCTTCCGGGCTTTCCCTCACGCCTCTTGAGGAACCCCCCAGAAGGTGCTCCTGCAGATGAAACGTTCCGACTGCCATCAGTGAGACCCCCTCGGCCAGTTGCCAGCTAATTTGGGGTGATCTATGCCTTACTACCTTGTTTTTTTTCTTTATTTCCATAAATATTTGGGTTGGTTTCTAGGTTCTCCATTCTGATTATTCGATCTATGCTAGCATCAAATTTTTAATTATTGTAGCTTATTTTTGAGAAATTGGTAGGTTTATTTTTTCAAATAAACTAAGAACTTCGTCTCTACCCCCACCATAAAAATCCATTTTTATTGTATCTGCCTCTCTGCCTGGCACTTACTTATGTAGTTCTTGCCGGGCACAGTTGCAAACATGTTAAATTTACAAGCTGGTGTAAAAAGACGCCTTTCTAGGTTTAACTCTCCTTAACCAAGACTAGGCATGCCATTTCTCTGGCACGTCGATGGCGCTCTGAAAAAGCTGCCATGACTCGGCACCAGTACCCTCTGTCGCCTCCAGCAGACCCGGAGCTGGCGTGAGTTCAGCTCCATAGTCGCTTTTCCCAGTCTCCGCATTAATCCTACTCCAAATTTGGGGTGTTTTTCTCTTTACCTTGTTTAGAGTGACCCATCCAGGGGAGCTGAGGCAGCTTAGGGACCGAGCATTGCCCCAGACCGTGGAGGTGCAGCCAGGAGCCGGGGCAAGGTCCCCCCTGGCTCTGGCGGGGCTGTGGGTCTTGCCACCTCGGAGCTCACATGGTCCCCTTTCTGTTTTGGCTCCTCTGAGCCTCATGTCCCATCTGGTACCAGAGCTTTGCCTCGGGGCTCAGCTGGTTACCTGGGTCTATATAGAGCTTCTAATTAAACGATTGGATTTTATACTCAATCATATCATGAACATGCCATTCCAAGAGCTCTCAGAAATGCTTTAGGACAGCTTCCTACTTCGAACATGCCGTTCCAAGCTCTCAGAAATGCTTTAGGACAGCTTCCTACTTCTGGACTAGGCTCAGATCACCAGGATCCTCCGCATTGCCGCGTAGGGACACGGTGTCCGGGGACAGCAGGGTGGCCGTGCGTGGGGGACTGCCAGGGAGAAGGCGCCGCCGCAGCCGGGTCCGGGCGTGCGTTTGGCGAGAACAGATGTGGAGGAAACGCAGCCACGGCCTGATCCGCGTGGAGGTGGCCCAGCCGTGGCCATTGCCGTGAGATTCACGGAAGGCCCGAAGGTGTCTCTAATGCCTGGACACGCGCCCTTCCCCCTCACCCTCTCTCTCTCCGTCCTGCTTCGGGACAGAAAACCCGGATCCCGTGCGTCCGTCCCAGCTGCAGCTCCCTTTAGCCTCGGTGCTGAGGGGGTCGGTGCCTCCAAACCCCGTCGTCGGCCTGTGTCCTCCTGTTCACCGCGGGACCCTGAGACACACTCAGCTATGTCTCAGAGCTGGGTCAGCTCCTGGGGAGTGGTGGTTCCCAAACCTGGCCCGACCAGACGACGGTGACCAGCTGAGTGTGGGCACAGGGACCTGGGCCCCCCGAGGCTGAGGCTTACGTGAGTCATCCATGGACACACTGCTAGCTTGTCCAAGGCCAGACAGCTAGCTCTGCACGGTCTTCCTTCCTGCTGACTGTCCCGTCCGCATCCTCCGCCGCTGCCGTCCCCGCCCCGCCCTTCATTTTCCTCCTCTCTGTCTGTCGCTCTTTCCTTCCGCGCGCTCTCACTTGTCATGGACCTAGTTGTCATGGACCTAGTGGGCATGTATGTCGGCCCGGGATGCTGTCAGGGTCACCATCCCCACCCCCAGCACTCCATCCTTCGACCTGAAATCCCACGGCCGATGCCCGTTACGGGTACCACACCGCCGCCGGGGTGACATTTGAAGGTGTCGCCATCCAGGTGGACTTCGGTGGGAACGAAGCAGCTGAGCTGAGGCTGTGATAAGAGGAGGGAAGGAGGGACTCGAGGCTACGTAGTGGTGGCTTCCACCGCCCTCCCCCCAGCCAGGAACAGGAACGTGAGAGTCGGGGAAGGGGAACCTGGAACACCGAGCGCAGGTGTGTGCAGCTGGACCCGTGCGATACACACCGCCGTGTGCCGCTTGCTCCTCTCCAGGCCTCTGCCCACGCCGCTCCCTCTGCCTGGGGTGCTGGGCCCTCCCCACCCCTCCCGGCTAGCTTCAGCTCACCGTGGACGCAGATCTGAATTCCCCCGCGGGCCCCCCTGCACCCCCACCCCCGCCACCACGCCCCTCAGCTGGCGCACACGCTTCCTGTGTGTTTCTGCGGCCTTGACCGGAAGTGCCCTGTGCTACGATTGCCTGTCACTCTGATGGCAGGAGTTCCGGAAACTCAGGGCGATGTTAGCAACACAGTCTGTTCTTTTTTTCTTCATGCGGATTTAACTCTGTATCTTAGTCTGCGTGCCCCTGGGCTGGCAGTAAGTCCCATTTGAGCCCGAACTGGGCCTTGGGGCCCCGCCTTGGGGTCACACAGGAATCCGAGAGGATGGCGTCATGCTTGGAAAGTGAGGGAGGCTGGTGGGAGTCTGTGTCCTCCCTGGCCGAGGCGGAGGAGACCCTCGGCATGCAGCAGCCCTGTGTTTCTGGGCCAGGCACGAGTCGCGGGTCTCCTTACTGGGGCTGGGACGGTGGGACCCAGGGGCTGGCCCCTTCTGTGTGTTCCCGGTGTGGTCTTGCCACCTGGGCTCTGTCAGAGACCAGGGCGCCACCCGTCTCGTGGAGCCTCAGACGGTTGCCCCTGCTCCATGGGAGGACACTGGCGCAGCGGGCTCCATTCTCTGCTCCTCCGGCCACCGCCTTTAATCCCGCCAGTGACGAGGCTGTCACCGCCTTTAATCCCGCCAGTGACGAGGCTGTCATACAGCAGAGACGTTCCCGCCACACAGCTGCTCCTTCAGGCGTCACAGCGAGCAGGGGACAGCCCAGCGTCGGGTGGGAGCCCTCAGGGAGCACAGGCAAACTAGCCCCGCAGACTGCCCGGCCGTTCCCGTTGGGTCCCCAGAGGCATTCGCGGCACCCCGAGTCTGGTCCGCAGCGTGGCCGAGTGAGGGTCGGCGGGAAGTGAGGGGAGTGGATCTTGGCTGGACCACGGCTGCCGACTCGGGTTTTGCAGGCCATACACTGCAAACCGAGAAGGTTCCACTCGGACATACGTGGTTATTTATTAAGACAGTTTTCTGGCAGGTGTTTTGCAGTGTCTTGGAAAAGGGGAGCTTTTGTGTATAAATCCATGAGATCTAGTGGCAGCCCGTTCCTTTTTCTCTATTTTCTCTTTAAATTCCTTAAACGCAGCAAGTGATTAAACATAAGCAAAATATTGAGAAATCAGAATTCCTTTCTGTTTGATAAAGATTCCGATAAATATTCTGAGATATTTTTGACTCTAGTAATTCACGGGAACCACATCTAAACACTGAATATTCTAAAATGATGAAAATGAATTGCAGAAGAATAGGAAATAAGCA